TCTGTGAGGGCGCTCAGTTCCGTACTTCTACGCTGTGTGTTCTCGATTCGGCCACGGCTACTTGGTCAAACTTTGTGGCGATGCCGAGGCAGTGCCCGGGCACAGCTGACAGGGGCTGTCGCGCGTCGGTTCGAAGTCCGCAGGGATTACAACTCATCCTTCGGTCGCCTCGCTCGTTCACGTCCGTCGAGTGCGAGACGTTGATGAGGCGCGATTGCTGGTTCTCGAGTAGTAGCGCGGTCACACAGGAAGACAAAGAACGCATAACCTACGAAGGCCGTTGCCAAATTTGAGTTGGGCGCGGAGCCACAGCTCAACAAAAATCTGAATTGGGTGCGGACAAAGCAGGATGCAGGCAAGAGACTCATCGACAGCCTTGGTGACTTGACCCTATACCGCAAGACTTCTGCAGCTAAAAAGGAGATCTCGCAGACGGTACAACCGCCCAAACCATGTCTCACCCGCGACGACTGCATGTTCGGACTGTTGCAGTGCCTAGGCTGCTCGAACTGGACATCCCGGAACAACGAGCTCTCAAGATTCACATTGACGACAGCGCTCGATCTATGCATCGTTGGGCCTTTTGAGCGCAGAATAGCCTTCGACGCAGTTCATTTGCATATTTGTAAAATCACGTAAATCTTTCATCCAACCGGATCACAAAGCGTTGCTGGCATACGCTCGGCGTAGGATGCAAACAGACTTGGCAAAGCCTAGACTTCACTTTACTTGGTGGTCTCGATGAAGCGCTGGCTTAACCACATGTGCTGATGCTGCAAGCGATCGCGACGCGTCCGGATATATTGAATTCCGTTCGATGATTCCTGGCATGGTGTGGCTGGCTGGCGCGGTGAGTCACGACCAGCCTGCATTGGATTCAAGATTTCACGACTGACATGTAAGCGAACCCAACCGAGTACAGTAGTGTAGCTAGGCAATTCTCCTGAAGCTGACGTACGAGAGGGCAGCCGTCTGTTCCGAGGAGAAGATGTCTCGCTTGACTTCGCGCAGCAGGCAGCAGCTGGGGCAGGCAGGCATGCAGCGAGTGGGTGGGTGCAAGTTCGACGACTCGTGACTCAGCACTCACACTGTTGTGCCTCGATCGCGACTCGCGACTGCACCTCGTCGCGGCGAGTATTCGGTTGCATCTCGCGGCCCGGTGAGGGGCAGGGGCCTCTAGTGAGACCTGCCTGCGTCCCGCATTCGGCGCGGAGAATATTTGAGCTCATTCGTGAGACAAGCTTTACATGCTCTCGCGACGGCGTCCACGACGAGCAGACAGCTCGGAGATGGAGTCAGGAGTCGACGGACTTCGTTTCACGATCGTCGACCATTCGACTGCCCAGAGACAGATGCTGTATGACCCAGCAAACGTGAGCGATGCGCAAGCTCCACTTTCAGAGATTGCCGACCGTTTGCTGGTCCGCGCTGTTACGGATGCGGATGCGCAATACTCTTCTGTCGGCCCGGCCCTTCTTGGACCCCTCGGACGTCAGCAACGATGTCTGTTACAGGAAATAGATAGCCCGCTCTGCGTGGGCGCTCGCAGGAACCCCGCAATGGTCGGAGTCCGCCAACGTGAAGCATGCACAGAAACGCGAAACGCACTTCTCTGTTTGAGAAGTTGCGGTAGTCAGCATTTCTCGGTAACGTCATCGTCCCTCGGAGGGTGGGGCGACACACACCACAGTAGCAAGCATAGGTGTACTCTGCTCCGATGGTAGAGTGATGCTCACGACTCATCTTCAAAGCTTCAGGTCACAATTTTTCTTTTTGGCGCGTTCACTTGAACGGACATTCCGCTCGAGCCTGAAGTATTCCGAAGAATGCGCCACATCACAAGTGGGGTCGTGCAGTACGACAAGCTCTTGTGAACTCATCGCGCTGGGATGATCTCGAGCATGAAGAGAGAAAGTACGATTCACGCGCGGCCGCAGACCTTTATGAGTGGGCAATGACGAACAGCAAGCGTCTTGCGCACAC